TATTTCAAGGATATATTTACCTGCAACACCATGCACAGTAGTTATTATGGTTAAATTACAATTTAGAACTGATACATATCTTTGATAAAATGAAACTTCTTTTAACTTTTGTCATCATTTCACCTTTGATTAAAGAAAATAAAATTTTCACTTCATATCTCTAACATAATAGTTGTTTGTAAGTTGTAAATGTATTCAGTTTTTTTTTACTTCATAGTTAAATTGTATAATAAATATTATCAAACTGTTTTTTTTTTCATTCATTCATTCAAAACTCATTCACATTCCTGACATATTTTGATGTACTTTAGATCAAAACATTTAAACTTTTTTATGTATATTTTTCTCTGTGTTTATTTTATGTAATATATTTTTGGTATGCTTCTTCTAAGTAAAATTCCAACCACATAATGTAAAAGTTGATCGATTGCAGAGAGAGAGAGACTGAGAGAGATGCTTCGAAAATCGGAATTAAAGCTTCGTATGAGAAAAAACAAATTGTCAACATTTTGTTGTTTTTAATATGTGTTTTTTATGATTCGTATGTTATTTTCACAATGAATTTCTTTGTTTATAAGAAAAGAAATTTATTTTCATAATGAACTGAATAAATTTGTAACTCATAAATCGATATATCTATCAGTGGTAGAATGATTGGAAATCTAAACAATTATTCAAAAAGTTATTTATTGATTGTCTCTCCTCTCTCTTTCTTCGCTTTTTTCTCCCTTTTAATTGATCTGTTTACCTTCAGGTAGAATGAAAATTAATTTTCTCTATCACATCATATTGATAGAATCGTGTGTTAATTGATAAATGAACTTTTTTTCTAATCAGTCAGTTATTCATTACCGTACGTTTTTTTGTGGTACTTTTTTATGGAGATTAATTTATTTTAAGCGCAACTAATTATTATCAATAGTGTATATCTGTTCCGCCCAAATATTATACTTCAAGATTGAAAACTGGCGTGGATAAACATAGTCTCTTTTTAAATATTATATCTTTGCTTCAGTTATTATTAATTCACCGATATGATATACATTATATACAGATGTTTAGAAACTTAACAATTATCATATAGTAGAAACAATAGTAAAAGGTAATCTTGTATTGTTGCACTGTCAATCAGTTACAATGTAGAACTTTGTACATAGGTATATCAGTTCAGGTCGCTATACCAGATTAGAACAGAGACGCAATTGGCAGTTCAAATCCGATAGTAGTAGAAGTATTATTGGTAATGGAGAATATTAGGGTTCGAAGATACGATTCAATAAGTATAATTCCATGAGATAAGTTTAGAAAAAGAAAGGTAGACGTGATGATGAATTCAGAAGGTTAGGATTTGAGAGAACACAAAGAGTGGATGCACCTGCGCCATTGCAAACGATTTTGAGTCATGTCGTTCAAGGTCTCTAACCATCGATTGCTTTCATCTCGCGGACCACAACCAGGAAGTCTACATCTACCAACATGACTCAGTCCACTTGTCAGTGACTTCACGGATTTGTGTCTTGTCTTTGTTTGGCCGATCCTAGATTTCTTCCAACCTACTCCTACACCACAAAACTTTTCTCGTCGAGGTAGTCGTTGGTTGGACATTCGTAACACATATCCTGTTGTACTGTATTTTTCTTGACTAAACATTAACCCAGAATAAGCCATATTATGAAATAGTTGAACAGTTAAAATTGGCAAGCAGTGTGACAAAACATTAAAAATCAATTAAATTTTTAGAATTAGTATTGAATATTTATTTTTGTTAAAAAAACATGACATAATCTTAAATATTATTAGTCAGATGACAAGTTTTGTAAATTATTTTGGAAATCAGCAGGAAGTTCAAAGCTTTTGCATGCTAATTTGTGGTGTCTGTATAAATTGTTAGTTGATTCTTCTATTATTGTTGAGTTTATTCCTTACCATAATACCAGTACTAATACTAGTAATAATTATTATTATATTGCACATTTACTTAGGTCATGGGTTTTTTTATCTGGTTTTCACGTGCTGGTTCAGTTTTTAACCAATCAAGTGCATTTTCAACAAATTTTTGAAGTTTCTCTATGGTACATAATCACATTCAATATTATTATGACCTATTCTAATATGTTGCTCAATAAATTTAAAGGCAGAGCGCACAATCGATACAATTTAAATCTTTGAAATGAATCAAGTAATAAGTGAATCCAATAAAACTCCATCTTGAAGGTCATTGAATTACTGTGACAATGTTCAATTAACAACTGACTCATTCGTTCCTCATTTAATTGGTTGGATCTAAGTCTTTTACTGAAAGTCTTCTATTGAAAGAAACACAATCAAATCTCTTTATTTTGCTTAAGTGAGCATAAATTCTCTATTAGGTGAACACTTGAGAAATTCGATTACTTTGATTGCGAAATTTAAATCAACATGACTGTACATGGTACATCTGACATGGTCATTATGTCAAAAAGCTGGAAACCTCGAATTTCATAGTTATTAACGTAAATTAGAGATTGTTTTATTTGACTATTGTCTAAGTACAAGAATACGGATGAAATTCTACTTGTTATATACAACAGTAGTTTCCCAATTAAATCTTATCTTATAATCTAAGCAAAAGTTTTTGTTCAAATTCACTTTATCAGTTTAAAACAAAATTTATTATTTGTGTATAGTAGTAATTTTGATTGACAAAGTTTGATGAAAATGTTTAATTAACAATTTTTTTTTCTTACATTCATCAACAACAACTACATAACTGTTGTGTTAATTAGTGTTGATGTTAAATGAACTGAAGTATCTTTTTTTATTTTAAAATCATGCTGTTTAGTAAATTAACTAATCATATCTTATGTATTTTAATAAATAATTAATTGTTCATTGTAACTCATTTGAGTTTTATGAATTGAATTCATTTCGCATCACAGAATATGAATCATTTGGAAAGTAAACAATTAATTATCGATCGATTTGTGGATTCTTTTTTTATTTTTGAATGATAATAGTCGACGAACGGAGAACAGTAAAGTTTGAGTTTGCTAAATTCCGTTCTGTGTAGTGCTGTTGGGGAGGTTGGAACTCGCTTGATAAATGTCTTAATTTTGGATTTTATTCATGGGCTGATCAGTTGACCTTGAGATTACATTTCTCACCAGGAAAATCCTTGACTGTGATTGGTTGATGAGTTATTTTAGTATGCTATTTTTGTGACTCTCCCTAGGACGTTTCTACGATGTATAAATAAATGCGATTTGTGTGTTTGATATCATTGTATTTTCTGATTGTTTGTAAAATACACTTTCTACGCTATATCAAGACTTTTTCTTCAGTTAGTTGGGGCATCGGATTAGAGTAGCCTACCATGTCGCTGGGTAATTGTCTCGTTCCCGTTTATCGACTTAAGTGAACTAGTAATAGTTTCAAGCATATCAAGTGACGAGCATAACAAATGCTTTCGTTGAATGAATAATATTAACTTATGTGCAACTATAGTATAGGATCGAGCTATACGTATCATTTAAAAATTTTACTACGATTTCAAAGTTACATTTTATTTAATTAGGAGAGTTTTTGTATCAATCAAAATATTTCATTACGAAAGTAATAAAACTTGTAAGAGTTTATAGGTTTTAAGAGTTTTATAATACTTAAAATCAGTTTGTAGAAGTACTAGTGTGTTAACAGTATAGAAATACGATCTACATAGAAGAAATTGAACATTGGATACACTTAATACTTATTTTTTATGGTATGATGATTAAAAAATAAACTTTTTATTTTCATCATAAAGATTTTGAAACCAAGTGTCTTTTACAAATCAGTGCCATCAGTTCATTTCATTTTATGCCAACTATGATAAGAAAAACATCATTTAAAACAGAAATAAATTGTACTAACTATGAGTAACATTTTCTTGTATAAAATAAATGCCCTTTTCCTTCATTTAAACATAAGCACTAATAGTAAATGAACCCAGTTTCTTACCACTGATGTCAATATGTAGAGAACCACAGACATGAATTCGACCAAGAAAGCTTTGAATTGTTGGATTGATAGAATGTTAAACAATTTCAAAATAAATCAGTAATTAATAGACATCAATATAAGTTTAGTCTATCAGTTTATATGAATTAAGCCACTTGATCTCAAATCAACCAAACAATACAATCGACAGTTGTATAAGTACAATGGTCTATGAAGACACAAACATAAATGCTTGTGGAATGGATAAAAACAGTCATTTCTATATGAATTGGACGCTGATTATGTTGTTCAGAACAAAAATGAACAATCCACAATCTAGTTCAGAGAAACTAATAACATCATAAGCTCCCAATGTATTTTATCGCTCTTATCTATGTTGTCGCTTATCGATTTCTATAAAAAATGTAACCAGTCGTATGAAAATGGAAAAATTACACAATCTCCAGAATGTTTGTGTATATTTGACTCAATAATGAACTACACTGAAGAAACATTTTGTTACGCCTACACGTAAATACGTCATTTCGATATGCTTAAACTATTACGAGTTCACCATAGTTGGAAACGAGAGCGAGGATTTGGCGACACGACATGCTTCTCTAATCCGATTGTCCCAGATCCCCATTGAATAAAAGAAGAAGACGATATGAAGTAGAACCTGTATTCTACAAGCATTCAGAAAGTACTAGGTCTGAGTCCAGAAGAGAATCAGGATCCCGGACTAAGGATCCTGGTCCGGGTAATGCGTATTTATACATTCAGGTTGAATAGGAAACAGCATCGAAGTCTGCGACATTGACAGTTAAGACGACCAATAGGAAACAACACTGGAGTACGTGACATTGATTGATATCTAGGACGATCATAAAATTGATCAGTAGAAATCAATCAATAGGAAATGACCAATAATTCTCTTAGGATATTCGATGAATTTCCTAACACATTTGTTTGCTTGTTTTCTAGCACTTTCATTTGTTAATATTAAAAGATTAAAAAAAGAACTGTCCAAATAATATAATTTTTTTCAAATTTATTAATTCATAAATCTTAAAATAACTTCAGAAAAATTGTCATTCAAAACTATTATCAACAGAAATTTTGTGCCATGTTGCTTTCATTTTTCTATTTTCAATTTGTCTCTCTTCTTAACCAAATCTTAAAGCAGTTGTTATTCTTGATGGCATAAGTCTTTGTAGATTACCAGTTTTCATTCCAGTGAGTAATTTATGCCATAAATGTTTCTCAGCTATCATAGTCCGATATCGTTTTGTTGTGTATGGATATTGTCTTTTCATGTAATTATTATCGATGTAAAACGTGTCTGAAATGTAAATGAGAAAAACAATATTTTTTTAAATTTTATTTATTAAGCTACATTGAGATCATTTAAACTATTGAAATATATATCTTACTCAAAATAGTCAAGGTCACTCGATTTTTGATGTACAGAAAGTTTTTTTCCTAATACCACTCGATATTCATTGTTCAATAATTTTTTAATACAAAATCGAAAATCATTTTGTAATTATAACTTATTTGTTTTTGCATCAGATATGTTATCGTTAGTAAACAAAAACAAAAAACATTTTATAAAATGTTTTTAATTTTTTGCTGTCATGTACTTCATTATTTGTTTTAATTGCCTGTTACAAAAAAACAAACAATCAGTCAATATCAAAAATTGACAAATATTTTCAATGTCATATCATTCTGATATTGATATTGGATTGTTACAAATCTAATCAATTCATTTTGCTTATTCACATTTCCAATGATTTCATACTGTTGATTTGATAGTGTTTCGTTGATTTACTATGAGTGGTAAGATGATTTTCTTGATAATTTTTGATGGCCATTGAAAAATTGATCGTTGAATCAGTTGAACAAATAAAACGTCAATAAATATATATAGTTCACATAAACGATAAGTCTTTTATCAGTTTATTTACAGGTTATTATTATTATTTGTTTATTTCACGGCTGAAAGAAAAAACACAGACTGAGTTTAAAAGTAAATGTTCCTTCTTTTTTTTTCCTAGTGAAGTTTTCTATCTCAGTTGTATATTGTGGTGCCTCAAAAGTGATACATTCTGAATGTGACTTACTGTATATAACCGATTACTTTGAATGAAAAGTTAGGTATATATTTGTTTAAAATTTTATCAATATCAACAGTTAGTTGGAATAACCTTGCATATTAGTTACAACGTTTTTTTTCAGACATGTTAATGACCTATTTCGTTGTATTTTAAATATTCGGATAAAAAAACGAAACCCATTTTCATAATAATTCATATTCAAACGAAAATCAATCAAGTAGTTTTGTCATGTATTTTTTTTCTCACTAAAATAAACATTTCTTTAGGTTAATCAACATTATGCGTTGTATTCAATGTTTGTAAGTAAGTAAGTAAGTAGAACAAATTCATTTTAACAATTATAGACACATCAAAATTCAATAGATCAGTATAAATAATCAAACAATGAACATCTAATTCTTCCCAAGCTTTTTTCTTATACATATAAAAATAGAATTGGTTTGTGTATATGCGTAAAGAGCAATATGCAAAAGGAATAGAATTTTCTACATTTTGAAATATATATATATATAAATCCAATGTTTAATGAAATAGAGATATATCATAATTTAACTTAGTGACCGACGATATGATGGCATTCTTATGACAACAGTTGTGCATCTATTTAAATCACTTAAACAAAATGCAAAACTTGTTAGTGTTTATGTGTTTAAATGCATAAAAAGCGTGTGTGTGTGTGTGCGCGCGCGCGCGTTTGCGAATGGTTTTTGGTACATAATGTGGTAAGTTGGTTAGTTGGAGAAAATCGTGTAAAAAATGGTGTATATCGTCTAATCGATAATCGATTCCCTTTCTCTCTCTCTCTCGCTATCTCTTATCTTACCTACTGAAATGGACAATTAATTTCAGAATACCAATAGGTCAACCGATTGGTAAATTTGAATCACAATGAAATTTATTTTTGTTCCATTTTTAAATATAAATAAAAAAAAGAGTAAATCATTTTGATGTATCTGTGAAAAGTTCATAAAAAATTTCAAAGTGGAAATGAATAAAATATCCATGAACAGGAAAAAATTGAATAAAAGAAATCATGGAAATTTTGGCTAAAAAAAAAAAATAATTCATGAAGTAAACTTAACCTTTATATCTTTATGTCACTGAACAATCAATTTGTGATGAATGTATCAATGTTTATCTATTGACTTTTTTTTTGAAAAAAATCACAATACAGAATTTTAGTTAGTTAAACATGAAATAACTAGAATAACTCATTATATATTTCATGAATGTATATTTCTCTGCTGACTTTTTGACAAAATCATCATACAGAATTTTAGTAAGTTGAAATGAACGAACTAGAATAAATCATTGTGTATTTCATGAATAAATTCGTAAATTATTAGTGATAACATCTTTATCAAGTTTCAATCAGTAACAGATTCGATTTCTGATGATGATGATGATGGTGACTTGGTGTAAGTCACTTCTTCAGAGGATAAATAAGCGTACAATTTTAATTAACCTTGTGTTAAGTTAATCAATCTGTCTTTTTTTCTCTGCTATGAAGAAATAGCCTAAAATACGTCATCAAACATTAGAAATTTAATTCCTGCTTCTCATTGGCACTCAACTCAATCGTTATTTTGTTCAAAATTATCGAATCAAGTCAAAGTTTTGGTAATGACACTTACAAAACCTCTAGAGTGTAAAGTGTGTAATGAGTTTTTTTGGAATACAAACAATGAGAAATTTAGTAAGCTGAATCATACTGCTGTCTGTTATGCAACATGAACAAGAGATCAAACAGATTAAGTGAAACAAAACTATCTTGACTATTTTATGAATTATTTAGAATGATTATATTCGGATTCGGTACTCTTCATTAATATAAATTAAGGTTAAAAAGTTATCTAATACTTCATAGTTAACATTGTGTTCCTAGATTATTACAGCTTATAATGTAAAATATCCTCAGATTGAGTAAATTAACTTGAACTATATTAATTGCCACTTACTTTTGTGTTAAGAAGTCAGATTTGGAAAAAGGAATATTTTTTTATGCATTGTAAATAGAAAGAAAATTCTATTTTTTTTTTGATGGAGAGACATGCTTCGATGTTATATTCAGCATTACTGTTTCATTCTAGAATGCTTTCCTTTGTGGCAATGGGCCTTCATGACTTCACTAAGGGGAACTAAACCCATGATTTTCGGTTCCCTAGTGAGAGCTTAACCTCTCAACCATTAAATTTACACTTAATGGTCTAAACATTTTATTTCAATCAATTCACTATATTGTATGATCATCTTCCAGTATGTATAGCCGATAATAGTCTGACACCCTACATGGTTGAATACCACTATTCGTTTCTTTTAACTAGAACACTTGGAGTTAGCTCCAGAAGCTTTTCATTAGTGAGTACACGATTGTTATTATTTCAAAACATATTACTAATTGGTTATCGGATAGTATGACTAAAACTTTAATTGCATATGTACGCATCTGTCCTAAATCTTATTATACATATTTATTGAGTAAATAGGTATTGAATTGTTAGTGACTGAATTCATAAATCGACCACCATTTGGAACCTAACACTGACAGTAACACCGTTGGATGCCGGCTCAGTGGTCTGGATGTTAAGCGTTCGTGAGCGAGATCGAAGATACTGGGTTCGATTCCCGCAAGCGATGGTCGTGTGTGCGCACTGCTGATGAGTCTCATCCTAGGATGAAACGGTTTTCCAGTACTTCCAGGTTTCTAATGACGGTCTAACAATGATCGATTCATAATTTCAGTCAAAAACAACAATCTCCATAACTCTGTACTGAATATAACTGCCCTCAGTTTCTAGTGGTTATCACAGACTATGATATATAGCTTTGGCTTAGACTAGCATATTTTGACCAAATGTTACTTTATAATTTTAACCTAACACAGAATATTTATCAAGGCAACTTCGAGACACAGATATTGAATACCTTTACGCAGGTCAGCTAAGTAGAAACGGCTTTGTTCAACAACACTACTATGGGTTAGGTGTAATGTTTATAATGAGTTATAAAGCTTCGATTGTTTTTTTACCATATTTGGTGATTGTTATGCACTGTTTCAACTGAGAATAATCTGTCCTATCGATTTTTGCGTGTATAAGTCAACTAACAGAACTATGATCGATATCAAACATCTGTAATAGTGAATCCATCATATATTTGACCAAAACTGAGCAAAATTCATCCGGCGCTTAAATTATGCCACACTCAGACCTAATCTACGAGGGTTCTGGCTACTGGGATTCATATTCAATGATTCCTATAGTTTAGCTTCATGATTTGTCTTTTTTATTCCTATTCATTATCACACTGATCATCATTAGATCAAGGGCAATGTATAAAATGATGCATGCATACTTAATAGGGTATAATTTTGTAATCTTAAACTTATTATTCATTAGTTAATTGAAATTGAAACAACTTTACTTGAATTAAAATGTCAATCATTTATAATAAAATGTAAACAAATGAGAAACACAACGTTTCAAATACACACACGAATCAACTGGTAGTAAAGAGAGTGAGAGAGATCTGTTTATTTTAATGCTTCACATATGGTTACCATAGGTGACGACTTCAAGGTCACAGTTATGGTTAAGAACAAAAAATAATTGACAATAGAAAAAACATTGATTATCAATCAGTCAAACTTCATGGAAATCATTTTCACAAAAATGTTCATTTAAATAAAACGATATGAAGTGGCAAGAATAATTTAAATCTAGATAAAAATCTGTTCGATTTAATTCGTTTGTGACATTTTAATTTTTAATCATATGAATATTTCAGCTGTGTTGAAAGAGAACTTGAGGATATTATTTAAAATAATAATACTATTCTAAAATAACATTTATTGAAATTATCTTGTTTTTATGTATGATGAAAGCATTAATTTCACGTTTCACAACATGGAATATACTCACAGATTAAAAATAATCATTCAAAATATTGTTTACTAAGTTTTCAATGTTTGTTTTATCAAAATCAGTTGATGACGATGATGATAATGTGAGACATTTCGATATTTATTAATTTTGACAATATTCTAATGATAAGAATCTATATACAAAACCAATAAGATTTTTATTGATTTTATGATGTACGTGAATAAGTCACACAATATGTATATTAGTAAATTTTATTATACAGAAATAAAACATTTGATTAGTATAAATCAGTAGGTTAGTGTAAAATGACACTATTATTGTAATTACCTTGTATTAAT